GAACTAAAGCTTTAAGGAGGACCGAGGGCAGAACCAGAACCACAGCTTTAAGGAGGACCGAGGGCAGAACCAGAACTAAAGCTATCTCTTCTACTAATGAACATCTACTTCCACGAGTTGAAACAGAGGAGGTGCTGCGGATGCAGAGCAGGAGGAGATAGAGGAGCAGGAAATATAAACCATCTCTTCCATCAGTCATCATGGGCAATATGAGATCTTTAGGAAACCAGTTGGAAGAACTCCCAGTCCCAGCAAGGACCCAGTCAGAATATCAGCAATGCAATATTTTGTGTTTAACTGAAACCTGGCTGCAGGATCATATCTCAGACTGCAGTGTCTCTTTGCTGTCTGAGCAAACCAGCAGAGATTTAAAGGAGACTGGAAAACTATAAGGAGGTGGTTAGTAGCATTAGTGAACAACAGATGATGTCATCCAGGACAGATGATGTCATCCAGGACAGATGATGTCATCCAGGACAGATGATGTTAAGGTGAAGATTCATCTCTGCAGCCCAGATATTAAACTGATGGCTGTTGGTTTTCATCCATATTATTTACCCAGAGAGTTCAGCAGTGTTTTGTTGGTAACCGTTTATATTCCACCTTCTGCTGTTGCCATCACTGCATGTGATGTCATCAGCTCTGTTGCTAAGCTACAGACACAGCAGCCAAATGCATTTGTGATAATAACTGGTGATTTGAATCACGTCTCACTCTCTGCTACGCTGCCAACGTTCCAACAGCTGCTGAACCAGAGAAAACAAACCTTTGGACTAATTTTATGTAAATGGCAGAGACTACATCTCTGAAGGTAGACCTCCTGCCTTTTTCCAGAAAAAAGACTCGCCGTGGAGTTGATGATGTCATCAGCCACAAACCCACTGTCATTTAGACCAGGCAGGCAGCACTGTGAGGATCCTGGTCTTTGATTCTGCAGATTCAGCCTGACTGACTTTGAGAGAAACTCCATCAGACTCGGGTGGAGGCATCAACAACCACCTGGATCAAAGACTACCTGACAGACAGACTGAAGGCCCAGCTGTCTGATCCTCTTCAGCAGACTGTTAAACACCAACAGAGAGTCTTCAGTCAGAGGCTGATCCAGATCCACTGCAGACAGACCTCTACAGGAGATCCTTCCTGCCTGCAGCATCTACAGCAACTGGATCAAACTTCTACAGAACCTCACCCCCCCTTAGCTCAGGTCCAGCTATTAGTGCAGCAGAGAGAAAAAGCAGAACCCATCCAGCAGGTTCTGGTTCTGATCCAGACTGACCCCTCCTCTCTGTCCGTCCACATGCGTGGCCCGGATGTGCTCGGCCAGGTCCGGGCTGCAGGAGAACAGCAGCTGGCAGTCGTCCCAGCAGCAGGTGTAGCTCAGAGCCTTGCTGGCGCCGCCCGGCCCGGTTCCGCCCGGCCCGGTGACCGTGGCGGGGGTGGAGCGGCCGCTGGAGGCGGTGCTGTCGGCGTCCATCTGGATGGAGCAGATGCTGGAACACAGAGCAGAAGGACAGAGCTTCAGAACCAAACAGAACCAGGAGGAAGAGATTTGCTATCTGGGTTTCCATGGATACGGGTCAGAACCACTGTAGCCAACATGGATGGTAAGGTTCTAATAGGTTGCCTCACGGAACCAAGCTTCCCTTTCAGAACCGGCTGCTTCTGGGTGTAATGGATGCAGATCATTTAGAACCAGCAGATCGGATCGGATCACGTCAGCAGGTTAAACGACTCATTCAACCCCAGAACACGCCGCAGATACGGGCTGCTGTTCCATCGGACCGCCGTACCGCGTCGGATCGGCAGACATGTTCTGATATAAATGCGCTCAGATGAGCAGCAGCGTAACAAGCAGCAAAATAAGATCAGCTCTGATTCCACTGATTCTATTTTCCATGTAGAAACAGTCGGACCCGACAGAGCAGACGCCAAAACACCTAAAACCATATTAGTCAATATTTATATAAAATAAGTTAAAAACATGCGGGAATTTAAATTTGGTTTGTTTTCATGTACAGCGTTCTAATTTTCCACTAATTGAAATGTCTTTAAATCCACATTAACACGAATTCAACAGACTGTAGTAAACAGATAAATGGAGGCAGAAGATGTCTTTCAGTCATCAATGCTCACATTCAGAGACACACAGGAGCTCTTTCAAGCTGGGCACCGTTTCATTCACAACACCTGTCCATCAACCAGGAATCAGAATCAGAAATACTTTAATAATCCCAGGGAGGGATTACTTTAGTTACATTACTCCATCTGTAATAGAGTGACTATAGGACTAGTTTGATTTCATATAATATATATAATTAAGGGGTCCCTGCTGCTGTCCAAGCGTCCATCCATCATGGACGCCACCTTCCACCCTCTGCAGCAGACTGGAGAGGAGCTGAGCTGCTCCTTTAGTCAAAGACTTTTACAGCCTGTTTGGAAAAAGGAGCGCTGCTGCAGGTCATTCATCCCTGCTGCAACCAGACTCTACAATGAGACGCTACAACCACAATAACTGCTGCAGTGGAGAATAATTACTATTTAATACCCTGTGAAATAACCTGTTTCTCTATATCTGACACCCTGAGCAATTAATATATATATAAATATCCATCTATATAAACACCCTGGGCAATAACCTACTATAGAAACAGATAAAAATCTGTTCTATATGAACCCCCTGTATAGACTGTATATATCCCATCATGCACCTCTTCATTCCTTTGGCTCTTTCTTCTTCTCTGACATTTGAGCTGATGGTTAATTGATGATTTCTCCACTGTGAGATCAATCAACCAACCAACCAACCAGACGGCATACGGCGTTCTGACAGACTGCGATCCAAACGGGTCTCCACCTCTGGACTGGATCAGAACCAGAACTCTGCCGTTGCCCAAAAGCAGTGAGAAGGTCCAGAACATCTACTGGTTCTGGTCCACTGGGTTCTCTAAGGTCCAAACCAGCAAGACCACACTGGTACCGAGTCTGACCAGACCTATGGAGGTTCTGCTCCAGAACCTCCTCAGACCAGAACTTCTGGATCACGAGTTCCTGGAACAGAACCGCTCCTTCAGAGGTTCTGGTACCAGAGGTCTGACCAGTAGAAGAAATCACAGAACCAAAGGCCATCTGCGTCCGGTTCTGTTTGGGAAGAAGAACCAGCAGAACCTAACTGGGAGCTGATTGTGTCTGAATGGACCCGACTGGTTCTGACCCACCAACCAGAACCAGAACCTGGACCCACAAGGAGCCGAACCTCCCGCGGGTCCAGTCTGGGTTTAAAGGTTCGGCCACGTGGTAAACATCCACCTGTGATCGACCCACGTGCCTCACCCGCTACCAGGGAAACCCTGACGTCACTTCCTGCCAGCTGGGTTCTACAGAACAGATGCTGAAGGTTCTGTTCATCAGAAATCAGAACCAGAACGGACCCCCCTCCCTCCGGTACCGACCTTTCCTCAGAGTTCATCCGGGTCAGAGGCTTCCCCTCCCTGCGGCCCGCCGGCCTGCTTCCTCCGCGGGGCTCCGGCCCGTCCTCCGCCCCCCCTGGTTCCGCTCCAGGAACGCGGCAGCCCTCCGGGGTAGACCCGGCGCTGTTCGGACCCGGTTCGGGTTCGCATCCAGCCTCCGCCTGGTTCTGGTTCGGCTCCCCGGAGCCCGGCGGCTGAAGGTTCTGTTGGTCCGGTTCCGGTTCGGTGGATCCATCCTGGGTCCCTGGGGGCCTCAGCAGAGCCATTGTGAGCAGAACTTTGGCTCCTGCTGCTTCCAGCTTCAAACATAAAGCCGAGCAGGGGGGCGTGACGTCACATCCGCTAGGCCAGAGCTGGTCTATTTATAGGGATTCTCACTCAGTTCTTTACATCCCATAACGGTCCAAACTGGGACATGTGCCGGTCCAACAGAACCGGGACCACAGCAGCTTCTGCTGCTTCAGCTCTGAGCTCAGAGATAGAACCGGAACCACCAAAAACCCGAACCGAACCAGTTTGGACCGACTGCTGAAAGTTCTGCTTCTCCTCCGAACTCAGGGCGGAGTGAGGCATCCTGTCAAAGATCTTTGTTCTGTTCTCTCCGCTCCACGTGTTCTAACAAACAGAACCAAACAGAACCAGTAACCATGGTTACAGAGAGGAGCAGAACCGGAAGCAGAAGATCGGTACGTTAGAGGATGATCAAAGGATCCTGTGGAGAAAACAGAACTTTTGATTTATTGCAGCAAAACCGATTTAGAGAATCAATATTAACAGACCGGACCCTCTACCGCACCCTGGCGGCGATCCGGCGCCCCTGCAGCCCAGAAGGTCCCGAGGAGCAGATGGACCAGAAGGTCCAGAGGCAGTGTTTTCCAGTGGACTGCAGGGGGCAGTGCAACATGCCAGCCTTTGCAATGACTGATTTCAGCATCTTTTAAACGCATTTCTACATTTGATTATGGTTGGAAGCCTTATAAGCTGGAATTTAGAGCCTGGTGAAACATTAAAACCTCCTGCTGTGTCTGTGAACACCTGACAATAAATCAGGTTTCACTAGAATTTTATTAAAGGACAGAATATTTTTATGCCCTGAGAGTTTATTTTTAATTCATGTAATGACAATAAAACATTTATTTTGATGCGGCTGCTTCAGGCTGCTCATGAGAATGATCTAGATTTATAGATGTCTTTCAATAATCTGAATATAATAATCTAACTGATCTATTTTAATAGTTTAATCCAGGCTGCTGGAGGCCATTTTTATTTTATAGTGTAGAAAAGTTTTTAAAGTGACTGTAATGAAGCTACTGAGCTCCATGATGGTGGATCATCTGATGGATGAAGAAGCTCTGCCATCATTTCTGTTTATAAAATCACGGCTGCAGCTTTATCAGACTCAATGTTCCAGATTAAAAACACTAATCCACTGTTTCTGCCTCCAGTTCATTCATTCATTCGTGATCATGAAGATGTAAATGTGTCCAAGTGTCCCGGTTAGATCAACTACTGCAGAAAACACCAGTTCTGATAATGGCAGCTCTTATTAGGGATTAATTCACTCACACAGCAATAAAATAATCCCAACACTGTTAACCCTCTGAGGTCTGGTTTAGCTTTACTGACCCACTAAAGGCTCATTAAATGCTGGATTCATTCCTCTTGAAAAATAAAAATGAAACCCAAATAATAAAAACATCAGACCTGAGGTGCGTAGCGCGGATGGTTGCCCTACTATCACACTGGAGCACAATTAGTGACTGGAAATGAGGAGATTCTCTGCAATACGGACAGAAACTTTTATAAATGTTGAGAGGCTTTAATTTTGAAATTCAACATCAGATCAGAGAGAAGCATTTTTCCTCTCTACCAGGTGACAAAAGCCAAAATGAAATCAGTTCAGTTATTCATCATCCATCCATTCATTCATTGATCATTTATTAACATCCATCCATCATTCATCCATGAAGAGGCGGAACTTGTAGGAACGTCAACATTTATTTCACACATTATAAAACTGATGGGTTCTGATCTTTTTGCATATTCTCTCTAATCACGTTAACATCTGATAATATCGGCTCTCATATTCAGATCTTAGATCTTTTCTTTGCTCCTTTCAGTGGATTGTTTACAGTTTAAACATGTCGTCCTCCTTATTGCTTGGTGTGTGTGCTATCGGCTACCCGTCACAGCTATTCACAGCCGTCTGACAGCAAAGCAAAGACAGAGGAAACCAAACGAAGCAGAACGTTGGGATCACTGCATGCTCTCCAACAGATGATCCAAATAAATATTACAAAACACCGTTAGTCCTCTGAAAAGGGAATAGAAAGAGCAGCAGCATGAAGTGGCACCATTCTGAAGGAAAACTGGCTTCATATTGGATTTACATATATATATACTGTAAATTTCTATATATATCATCTGCATATATGACAGTAAATGATAACCTGTTCTGAAGGCGGAGAAAACATGAAGCCTTCAGATTCAAACTACACAGAAATCTGATCTTCAGCTTCGGCGGTCACTTGGGCGTGAATTAAAGCACTGCATGGATATGAGACCTGTCAGCGGGCGCCGCTTCTCCATACGGGACCAGGATGATCATGTTAGCATGGCGGCGCAGCGCTTAGCTTGGCATCAGCAGCCGGCCTGGAGCCTTCCTGTTTACCATCACAGCTGCTAGGTTCCTAACTTGGAAGAGCTGGGGGGGGGGGCATTTAGTTTGAGTGGAGGCGTCTTGGTTTGAGCCATGGAGGTTAGAGGCGTCTCCGGGGCCGCTGGCTGAGGTCCTCGTCCTGAGCGTGATGGACGCTGACGTTAAACGGCGGCTGGAGGACTGCTGTTACCAAACTGCTTGATTGTTTTCAGCAGAAACCCCAAAGAGGGCGGGGGGAGGGGGGTATAGATATATGAGACACATCTGTCAGATTAAAAATAAACCGTCTTATTAAATCCCACATTTCTGTATTAAAATATTTCTACCATCATTATCTGGATCCCCGTTAACTGACGGGTTATTGGAACCAAACTGCTCTAAATGAACTTCTCATTTATTGAATGACTGGATATCTATTCTATCTATTTCTGGGCCCCATTGTATTAAAATACTGCATCTATTTTCAGTTCACAAACATGTTGGGAAAGAAGGAACTTGGTTTTAAAAAGCTCTGAAAGGTAAACAAGCTCCTCCAAAGGATTCCCATCAGCCACTGCTTCATGTGCCTCGCAGGCTTCCAGGCTGGCATGGAGCTGCAGGCGCTGAGTGGTTCTGGTGGGAATGCAGGAAGCCGTGGATCATGCTCTGTGCTGCTGGCTACAGTCGGGCTCTATGGGATGCTGGTTCTGGTGGTGCTCACGTGTCGCTGCTGACCAACGTACAGTTCTGCGCTGCGGGGAGGAGAAGACGGGGCAGGTTAGAGACAACTTCCTGCGAATCAATGGAAACCAGTCATCCTAAACATTACAACCAGCTGCTGGTTAGAAACTAGCCCAGAAGGAGGAGCAGAAAACCAGAAGAATGAAACTGTTGCTGAGTTTAGGACGGATCGCTCCATTGGAAATCTGTAGGGTTCACAGAAACCTGGCTGCAGCAAAAGGAAGTTCCTACTAGAAATCCCTAAACTTATTATTATTAACATTTTCACAGTATAAAAACAAACCTGGGTAAGGAGGAGTAGCATCCACCTTTATATTCTAATAACTGATTATTATCATTTATCAACTATAATAATAATGCATTGAAGTTCTAAAGTTGGAGCGACATTAATGCTAGGCTGATTAATGACTCCATGGATCTCTGTCTTCTCTATGTTTTCATTCAAACTGCACATCTCTTCTGTTTGTTGCTTTGTATCATCCACCAGGTCGTTAGGGTCAATATTTACATCTGTCTGTTTACTGTTAAATAGTGACAGAATCCACCCATCCACAAAGTTCAGAAGTCGCATGACAAACCCTGTGTATTCTTAGGAGCCATTTTTTGTCTTCTGTCGACAAAGGTAAAAATCTCAGATTGTGAGGAAAGAGACGAGGACATCAGTAGGACTGGCACTCAAACTGCATCGACTAAAGGAAGAATTTACAAAAAGAAAATCCCTTAAGAATATTTCATGTTAATGTTCTGCGAAAACTAACACTGAGGTCAGTAGATCCATGGGGACCAGGAGAGCCATGGGGGGGGAGGGTTGTCCAGACTGAGGCTCTCAGGCAGGCGGTTGAACAGAGACGATCCCTGATCTATTGACAGTTCCTTTCCCAGACAGAGACACCTGTGCAGCTAATTTAATTCACCGTTTTTCACAGTGGAGAAAAAAGCTAAATTTAAAGAAATATGGGAAAAATTGATAACATATAAATTGGCCTAGGAAACTGTCTGTGTTTAGTTTCGTGACAAGCTGTCGCTGTCTAAGGTTTGATGGATCATTGTGTTTTGGTTTAGCATTTCGTGGCAAATGGGCCTCTAGGGGTGCTCGTCACGCTTATCCA